AGACATGAGGATCACAGACATGGTGGGATCACAGACATGAGGATCACAGACATGGTGGGACCATAGACATGAGGATCACAGACATGGTGGGAGCACAGACATGAGGATCACAGACATGGTAGAATCACAGACATGGTGGGATCACAGACATGACGATCACAGACATGAGGATCACAGACATGGTGGGATCATAGACACGAGGATCACAGATATGAGGATCGCAGACATGGTGGGATCACAGATATGGTGGGATCAATAGACATGGTGGGACCACAGACATGGCAGGGCCACAACAGGTCAGAGTAAAGACTGTGGCTTTATCCCCACCAACGTGAGAGGATACCGAGAGAGGACGAAAATGGACTGACTGCCTTGATTGGGCTTACGCGAGAACCTTCTGTGTGTACCAAAGTTATAGCTCAGTAAAGTTCATTTTCAAAGGAAGAAAAGGAGGGAGAAAAGAGAAGGAGAAAGGTTGGAAGGAAGGAAGGAGATAAAGGGAAAACTCTAGGACTCCCTGATATAGCACACATCAAACACAAGGCCTGAGATGACTTGGTCTCATGTCCTGATCCAGTCTTCCCCACCCCTACCCCCACGCCATTCCCTGGCTCCCCACATGACCAGGACCCCCAGTCTGAGCTCAGTGTTCCCCTCCGCTCCATCCAGCTGTCTCCCCTCCTCAGAGCCCTGCACAGCTCTAAGCTCAGCGAAGACCACCCTACACCAGCCTCCTCCTGCCCCATGACACCCTCATGTCACACCCTGGGCAGGACTCTGGGGAAGGAGGGGTTCCTCTTTGGTTTTTGACCCCTGTCTCCTAAAAGGGGCAGAAAAGCATGGAGTTTCCCGACTGGTGGCCCTGTCTGAGGCGGTGCCCTCCTCTGTGGAATGAGAGGGCTGTCCTGGGCTTACTTGCGTTGCCCAATAGTGCTTATTCGGTGCCAGGCACTGCTCTGAACACTGACCAATGGTAACCCAGATAAATGCCACGAAGAACCATGCCTCCACTTCCCAGATGAGGAAGCCGAGGTGCAGCCAGGTCACAGAATGTGTCTGAGGTCAGAATGTGTTGAGGTACCGTGGTCAGAGGCAGCTCCAAGAGGCTGCCTTTCTGACCATGGTACCTCAATCCCACAAGTCGATGGAGAAGAGAGGTTCTCATAGCCAGACGGCTCCGTGGGCACCCTCAGCCCTGGGAAGTGGGACCTCCAATTTGCTTTCTGTGATCGGAGATCTGGAGATGGAGATGGGAGAACCACCATCCTCCCGGTGGATGATGAGTTAGCTCCCCACCTAGATTGGGGGGAGGAATGGTGTGGGGACCCAATGCATACACACAGACACCCACACAAAGACACACACAGTAATCACTTAGACACAAAGGCACACAGAGACACACCCAGTGGGACACAGCCCCCCCACCCCCAGCCACAGACAAACCCTCAGATGCACACAAGGACAGGGGGTGCGGTGGGGGGTGAGAGGGCAGGGGAAATACAAGTGCTACAGAAATGTTCTTCTCCCGGCCCCCTTCCCTGCCCCCCAGGGGCCCTGCCCTCCCGTCCAGGAGCTGTGTCCTGGCCTCACCCCGCCCCCATCCATTGCAGGCACCAGGAGCAGCTCAAAGTCATGTTTGTCGGGGGCCCCAACACCAGGAAGGACTATCACATCGAAGAGGGGGAGGAGGTAGGTCGATGAACGGCTCTGGGCCAGCGCAGAGTTGGACCTGCCTCTCTGGACGTGGGGCTACTGCTGAGGCCAGCGCTTGTGAATGGGCACTGGCAGACAGAGGGCTGTTGTGGGAGGTGTGGGAGTGGGTGAAAGGGCACAGCTGAAACCACAGAGGGAAAGGGTACCTTCCCCAGCCCCATCTTTAAGGGCGCCTGAGCCAGTGAGCTGGGATGGGGCCCCAGGAAACAGCTGGGTCTCTGCAGCTGGGACAGGGTCCTGGGTTGTCCCTGCTACAGATGGGCCATGCAGGTCTCGCTCATCATACCCTAAAGGTGGAAGCCTGGCCTCTAGGGGAGACCTAGTTATTCCCTTTGGAGCTTCTCAGACCCCAGGTTCTTCAGGCCCAGCCCAGAGACAGACGGCTGAGGGAGGAGCAGGTGCTGAGGGAGGGGGGTGAGGGAAGGATGGAGAAGAGAGAGGGGCCTGGGCCTGGGGGGCCCCCTCTTATCAAGAGGACCTTAACACCCTAGGCCTTCAGTTGCTAGGAACTGTGTGGCTGAGAGAGGTAGGTAAGAAGGGGCTTGCCCCAGCCGCAGCCCTGTCCTCACCCAGCCGGAGCCTGAAAAGTGAACTGCTCAGACCTGGGTTCAAATCCCACCTCTGCCTTCTACTGATGGAGTCACCTTTTCCTCCTAACTGAGCTCAGGCTCCCTTGCCAGGCCCCCAGTTCCTCAGTACCACCCACCCTTCAGCCCACTCTTTCCCTTGGGCTGGGAGTTGGCCCTGGGTTGGAATCCATACCGCTCACTAACTCTGTGATCTTAGAGAAGTCACGTCCTGCCATCTCGGTGAGCAAGTCTCCTGCAGCACCTGGGGACAATGGTCCAGCCGGGCAGGTCAACATCTACACACACACACACACACACACACACACACACACATACACACACACACACACACACAAGGCTGGCTCCCAGCTTGGGGCATATGCCAAATGGCTCTGTGAGGGATCCTGATAGGTTTTTCTTACTTGTGTTACGGGTTGTTTTACTAATAAAAATAAAGAGTGGAAAGGGTTACCCCGTGCGTGGAGTGTGTGCCCCCCACCTCCTCCACAGAGACTCCCCCGTAAGTCCTTGCAGGGCTTCCAAAACCTGATTCATCTCCATATCTGCTGGAGCCAGGACAGCTTACTACTATGTGCCGGGCACCTTGCGACATCCCAGGCCACCCTCACAGCGACTCTCTGAAGTAGTTGTGGTGGTGTCGTGGGTGAGAGGACCGAGAGGCCACGTGAAATGACCTCCCTGCTAGAGATCACAGCCACGTTGTCTGCTGACACTGAGATCCAAGCTTTTAACTACTTGTGCGCTCATCATTAGGTGCATCTCTGATTATCCTTTGGGGAGTTTCTAGGTCCAGGGTGACAGCTGAGCTGGATTGCCCAGGATGGTGTTTTGTCTTGGACACCCCACCCACCTGCCACCACCCGCCGCCTCCAGTCCTGTAAATGGTTACCGACAAGAGTGTGAGCTATGCAGGGTCTCCCTGTCCACTGCCGCGAGGCCATGTTGAATTGTAACTCTGTCTTTGAACTCCAGACCTTCTCTCCCCTCTAACTCCTCACATGGAACACTGGGGGCAGGGTGCTTACGAGTTGGGCTGCTAACCCCAAAGTCAGCAGTTCTAAACCACCAGCTGGTCAGAGGAAGAAATAGGGGCCTTTCTCCCATAAAGAGTTACAGTCGCAGAAATTCACAGGGGGGTGGCAGTTCTACCCTATCCTATAGGATGGCCATGAGTGGGAATCGACTGGACTTGGCAGTGAAGGTGTGCATACCCACATTCATGACAACATAATTGCTAATAATTATAAGGCCATCAACTGTTTGGCGGGGATTTTTCATACTCCAATAGGTGACAGAGAGGGAAAATATGTCTGCTGCCTCCTCCCAACTCCATAGGGCTGGGCGGTCCCAGTAAACCCAGTGTGAGGGATGTAGGATAGAATCCTCCTGAGCTAGCAGGAAGGGAGGGCCCCGACAGCCCCCAAGCCACCCCAGTGTCACTGAGACCCAGCGAAGCCCATGTCAGTGCCTCACCTGGGCAGGAGCCAGCACAGAACCTGGAGACACACATGGACTCCAGCCCCAGTGGCTAGCAAGTTGTGCGACGCTGGGCAAGTCGCTCTGCAATGTGAGACTCGGTTTCCTTTTCTTCTATTTACCAGAGGTCATTGTAAAGATGGGTTTTCTTCACACCCCCTGGTACATAGTAGGGCTAGCACCCAGTAGGGTCTCAGTTAACGAGTGGTCCCCCGGCACCAGCAGGCGCTGTGGGTACTCTGGTCAGCCATCACTTGGGGTGGGACTCTTGGTGCCCGCGTGTCCCTGCCCTCCTGGCTGTGACATGCATGGGCAGACAGGCCCCGGGGCAGGAGCACCAGGGCCACTCACCCCCCAGGGCCATCAGCGCACATCTGGGGGATGGCAGAAGGTGCGGGGAGGACCGGCCACCCTGCTGTCTCACAGGTGTTTTACCAGCTGGAAGGTGACATGGTTCTCCAAGTCCTTGAGCAAGGCAGACACCGAGACGTGGTCATTCGGCAGGGAGAGGTGAGGCTGGGCCCAGGGTGGGTGGCCGGGACAGCCAGACAGGAACTCATCTGCTCTTGTTGGCCACTTGCCCCTGAGGCCACAGCTCCCTGCTTTGCTCCGTCCTCCTGGCCTGCCATGCACACCCCACCACGCCCCCAGCCCCTAAAGCTGCCCCAGCTCCAGCATGATGGGAGAGGTGGGCCCTTGGGGACAAGCTTTCGCCTCCCGTCATTCTGTGTTTGTGTGTGTGTGTGTGTGTGTGTGTGTGTGTGTGTGTGTGTGTGTGTGTCAACCAGAGCTGCCCAGGGGACTGTGGGAGGAGGGGTCACAGCCGTGCTGAGAACCTTGCCCCCTCCACTGCAGATATTCCTTCTGCCTGCGGGGGTCCCCCACTCACCGCAGAGGTTTGCCAACACGGTGGGGTTGGTGATAGAGCGGAGGCGGCTGCGAACCGAGCTGGATGGGCTCAGGTAAGTGGGCCCAGATAAACGGGGTGGGAGCGTGGGCTGGCACAGAGAGGATGGGCAAACAGCAGAGGAGGGGGGATAGCTTCAAACTTCAGCCAAAAGGATCTTAGACTTCAAAAAGCACTTCCTGCCGACTGAGGGTTGGTGGACTTCCTGGCTGAGGACATGGAGACCCTGCATTCAGTGCCTGGGGCAGGAGGGGTTGGGAGGGGGCTCCAGGGGGAGAATTGGGGGAGGGATGTTCTCTGGGACTGCTGGGAACCAGCTCAGTCTGATGACCCCTGGCTGTGATAAGCCATGCTTTCCACATTGAGTGGGCTTGGAGGGATAAGGTGCAGAAAGGGGGTGGGTGGGGCCGGTGCATGCCAGAGGCAGGCCCACCTCCCCCAGTGCAGCCGGGACCACAGAGGCTTCTCTCAGTTCCTGTTCCACAGTTCGAGGGCGCCCAGCTTGCTGCATGCACTTCTATAACTAAAACAGCTGCCTCCCTGTCCGGTTGATTCCTTCGGACTCAGGGCTGCTCCTCGTGTGTCTCGGGAGAACTGCGCCTGAGGGTTTCCAGGGGCTGGTTTTCCAGAGGTGGATTGCCAGGCATCTCTTCGGAGGTGCTTCTGAGTGGATCAGAGCCACCAACATTTTGGTTAGCAGTCGAGGACTTAACCGTTTGGACCACCTAGGCAATTGATGACCTCATAGTCCTTCCTGTGGCTGTGGCCTGACCCACTGATCCATGCATCTGTTGCCTGGCACAGTGGGGTCCTCCCTCCTGGCTGTTGTGGGCCGTGCTGCAGTGGACAGCCGTGTCCACGTCTCTGAGCTTCTGCTTTTTCATTTCCTAGGAGCACAACTTCAGGGTCCCACAGCCATGCTATGTGTAACATTTTGTTTTGGCGGGGGGGTTATTTCTCCTACTATCCGCTTTATCCCCCCCCCACACACACACACATACACTCACATACTATGGTAATAGCTGCATGATAATAACCTATTGCATAAATCTCTATTGTAGCTACAGACACCGGCTGTAAATTTTCACAGAGCTTTCTCCCGCAGGGCATTCGATGGGCAGTCTTTCGTGATGGGAAGGACAGTGTCCTCCAGGTCATTTTACAGAAAATTCAATAACATATTTCATCCGGTTGCTTGTGACCTTTCATAAAAGCCAGGGACTCGATAGGAACATGCCATTCCAAAGGCAATTCCTGGAGGGCAGGGCCGTCCAGTTAGGAAGCCTTCTGGTGGCTGGCTCCATCCCAGGATAGCATGGAAGGTGTCAGCCAGGGCGGGCACACTGGGTGTCCTTCAACCATTTCCCATCCACAAGAGTGGAAGAGCAGGGAGAGCTGGCCCAGGAGTGGGCACCTGGAAGCTCCAGGCACCTGCTTTTTGCCGCCCGCACGGCACTGGGGACAAGGCCCCTGTCTGCCAGCCCTCTGAACCCGGCTTCGGGCAGAGGAGGGGCGCCAGGGGGCCTGCAGTAGGCTGTGTGTGTGCACATGCGCTTCCCTCCAGGGAAGAGATCCCAGGCCCTGTTCCAGACTCTGGCTCAGCCTCAGCTTCTCCTCTGGGAAGTCCAAAGATGCTTAGATTAGATGATCTCTAAAGCCTGAAGGAGGAGCCATGGTAGGGTAGTGGTTACACATTGGGCTGCGATCCACCAGGTCAGCGGCTCAAGCACACCAGCTGCTCCAAGGTAGAAAGACGGGGTTTTCTACTCCTGTAAAAGGTTACCATATGCACTCAAGTATAAGCCGACCCAAATATCAGCCAAGGCACCTCATTTTACCACAAAAACTGTATTAAAAATGTGCTGAAAAACTCGGCTTATAATACACGAGTATATACAGTACGCCTTGGAAACTCCCAGAGGCAGTTCTACTCTGTCCTGTAGGTTCACTGTGAGTCAGCATCAAGTCCATGGCTTGAGTTAAAGCCTCAAGGCAGTGGTACTTCAAGGGTGGAATTCTTGCCCTCCATGCAGGAGACTCAGGTTCAAATCCTGGCCAATAGCCGCTCCTCTTCTGTTCATGGGAACTTGTGGGTGGCTATGATGCCTGCTAGCAGAGTCAGATTGAGACCTGCTGTCTACTTCCCTAAGCCCTAGTGGTATAGTGGTTACTCATTAGCCTGCAATCTTCAAGGTCAGCAGTTTGAGACCACCAGTTGATCTTTGGGAGGAAGACAGGGCTTTATACTCCCGTGGAGAGTGAGTTTCAGAAGCCCAAAGGGACAGTTCTACCCTGTCCTATATGGTTGCTATGAGTCCACAATACTTTGATGGCAGTGAGTTTTAAGGGTTATTTATTTCCTTGTGGCCACAATGGGTAGACTGGGCTGGGGGACATTTTGCTCCACTTTACCTGAGAACAAATTGATGGCAAATAGCAACAAGGTCCTAAGGGTGACTTGAGTCTACGCCTTACAGGTGCCGTCACCCCCTGCCAGGTTGGCCAGCTACACTGGGCCTCCGAGTCCGACTGACTTTGTAAATGGTGTTGTTAGTAATGTTCCAACGCCCCACCAGGCACCGGCCCCCCAATACATTTTCAGAGCTCATACATCCTTCTGCAGGAGCAGGCTACTAGTGAGTGGCACTGACCACTAGGGGGAGTGGGCAGGAGCAACGCTTCTGCAGGCCCAGGCGTCCCAGGGAAGCTGCCCCAGGCGGTGCAGGTGGCTGCCCCAGGCGGTGCAGGTGGAGACCTGGGCTTCTGTCCTCGGGCCTGGCAGGTACTACGTGGGAGACACCACGGACGTCCTGTTTGAGAAGTGGTTCTACTGTGAGGACCTCGGCACACAGTTGGTGCCCATCATCCAGGAGTGAGCCCGGGGTCCCACGCGCCCTGTGCTCTGGACAAGAGAGCTGACTTCTCTGAGCTGTGTCCCTCCACCATCATGCTTGGGAATTAGGGAGAACATGTCCCCAGAGTGGGAGGACCGGGCTGGGAACCCCGGAGCAGGGTGGAGGGGGGCTGTCCCATGGGACTGGGAGGTAAACTGGGGGTGCACCAGACGTTGCTGTGAGAGGTATGTGTGTGTCTGCTGGCCACTCGTACCCCTCCCACCTGCCCCTGCAGGTTCTTCAGCTCTGAGCAGTACAGAACCGGAAAACCCATTCCTGGTGAGGCCACTGGATGTCCCCTGCTTCCTCCCTGTCCCAGCCTGAGCGTGGGGTGTCTTGGTCCAGGCTATCGGTCTCTTTCTGAGTCATCTGCTCAGCGCTGAGCCGTCCTGAGAAGATGGCCCCAAACAGTGTCCCCCCTTGGCCACTGAGCTGGCTGTAGAGCCCATTCTGGTGACAGAGAACTGGGGCTTGGCCTGGTGGGTGGGCTCTGCCCAGAGGGCACTGACCACAGCTCCTTTGGGAACAGACCAGCTGCTCAAGGAGCCGCCGTTCCCCCTGAGCACACGGTCCATCATGGAGCCCATAGACCTGGACGCTTGGCTGGATGGCCACCGCCAAGAGCTGCAGGCCGGTGCATCCCTCAGCCTGTTCGGGAACACATACGAGACCCAGGTAATGCAGCCCTGCCCTGGGCATTGTCCGGCAGTCTGGAAACAGGAGTCAGTCTCTGTCTCGCTCATACGCGCTCACGTGTGCACACACACACACCCCAATTCCAGGGACCGTGCACAGAGCAGGCCCCTCCCTGACTCCGGGATAAGGTTGGCTTTACAGGTCCCAAGCTTTTCTCTGTTACCCTCAGAGTAAGGTCTGACCAACCCTGACAGGCTCCCGAGGGTCTGCACCTGCCGGGAATTCTCAGCATCATGGGCACAGGAAGGAGAGAGGTGTTTGGAAGGTGAGGGTTGCACGGAGGGCGAACTGCAGAGAGGAGTCGGCCGGCAGTGCAAGCTGGCTCCCTTTCGCTCGCTCCACACACACAGAGCGAGTGTCCCTCACACTCCAGGTCAGAGAACCAGCCAGGGCCTCCGTGCGGGTGTGGAGGGTCCCCTCTGTCATACTGTGCAGAGGAGCGACAGCAAGTCATCCGAGGAGGGGGCGGGGGTGACCCGGCTGGCAGGGGAGCTAGGAGGAGGTCATGTGTAATCTGATTTTCCAAGCTAGTCAAAAAATTGCCAAAGGAACGAAGGAATGGGAGGAAGGAAAGAAAGGAGGTGAAGAATGGATTCTCTGTGAGGGCCAGAGTGTGGGAGGGGCGGCAGCAGGATCCGGGTCCTGGCCAGTCTCGTGAGCTGGACAAGGCTTAGGGATTTATCCTAGAGACAAGGGGAGGGCTTCCTCTACTGAGGCAGGAGAATGGAGCTACTAACCCAGGGTGGCATTTCGGAAAGATCCCGCTACACCGCGTGGGGTAGGGGCCAGAGGGCAAGAGAGGAGACTGAGAGACCTGCTGGGGGCGAGTGTGTGCTAATACTCTATCATACGCCATTGGCCAAACCCCATGCAGGGTGGGCTCGACCATGTGGGATGCTCGCAGGATACAGGTCCACGACACCCGGGCGGACACACCCATGGCTGAGAGAGCAAGCTGGGCACCCCACATGGCCTCATCCAGCCCTGAGCTGCCTCCCTGCAGGGAGTCCCACGCAGGGCCAGCGGGAGCAGCCCCTGCCCAGCAGCTGTGGGCGTTGGGGCCTGGGCATGTCAAACAGGCTCTGGTCTCCCTTGTCATTCTCTCCTTCCTCTTCCTTAGACCAGCGTCACAGAGGAAGGGCGGTGGGGACCTCTGGGGAGCCAGTATGTTTCACGTTCTGCACGTACGACAGGGGCACGTGTGTGTGCCCCTGACATACCAGGCAGGCAGGCATCTGCAGGTTCGCGTCTGGATGCACCTCCAAATAGCCACCTATGGGCAGCACCTACTGTGATGGGAGGGAGCGCTCCCCCCTCCCCCCCACCTAAGCCTAGTGTCTGGAGGCCAGGCTCTTGTATGGGCAGAAAGCACCATACAGATGTCTCGGTTCCCACCAGGTGGTGGCCCACGGACAAGGCAGCAACAAAGGCCTGAGACGGAATGTGGACACGTGGCTGTGGCAACTGGTACATGTGGTCCTGGGAAAGGTCGGGTGGGGAGCCCACGGTCTGCTGTCCACGGGGTGGGGCTCCTGGACTCTGGGCTCCCAGGGTGTCTGCCACTCTGGACAGACTTGGGGACACTGGGCTAGGTGTGGAAGCCCACAGTACCCACACAATCCTCCTGCTCCTCTTTCCCAGGAGGGCTCCTCCATGGTGACAATGGGGGGACAGCGCCTAAGCCTGGCCCCTGATGACAGCCTCCTGGTGCCAGCAGGGACATCGTGAGTATGCTTGGGGTCCACCCCTTGCACAGGAAGAGGACATGCCCTACCGGTGGGGCCCTCAGAACCCAGCCTTACCCTAGGCCTGCCCCTCTGTCACCACAGGTACATGTGGGAGCGTGCAGAAGGCTCCATGGCTCTGTCTGTGACCCAGGACCCCACCTGCAAGAAGCCCCTGGGGTGAGGGATCTCTACCCCTATAGGATGGACGTGTGCCCCATCTGTGCCAAGTAACTCTGCCAGCCCCCACTGCTTCTCCATGCCCCTCCAAGTCACATGCAACCACAGGGAGACCAGGCCTGGATGCCGCTGTCACTCAGCTTTCTGCTGTGCCCCTTTTCCTCCAGCAGCCCTCAGCAGCCCGATGTCCCACCTCCCTCCCAGCTGGGGGCTCTGTCCCCAGCCTGTCTGGTTGTTGTTACTGCCCCTCTGCCCACCAGGCTCCGGACAGCACCTCACAGCCATGGGGTGGGGAGGCGGCAATAAAAGCTTCCTGGGAAATGAACGCTTGTCAGCAGGCTCCATGTGCACCCCCAGCCCTGGGACCGGTTTGGGTGCTGTGGGTGTCAGGACAAGGCGTCACCTGGGATGTGCTAGGGAGCCAGCCTTATGTTTCCCTGCTGTGGGACCCCTGAGCCACGTCTGTCTCCTCAGGAGCTGACGTCACCCCTGCTGCTTTCTCTGTTCCTATTTATTCGTTTCTACATAACTTTTTAAAAATAGCAGCTGTTGAGGCTCCCACCCCCAATAACGGAAATGAAGGGCTAATTGTAGAAAATGTAGACGAACCCAACCAACCCTCTCCCCCAGTGAATTAACCACTGTGAAGGCCTGAAGACTAATTGCTGCAGGAGAGGGGCATGTGGCTGTATTGAGGACCTGTGATCCCCCTGCTCGGCATGATGCCCCAACGCTCTGGGGGGCTTTGGGGGTCTGGGGTGGTAGCCCCAAAAGCTGCGCCCATGGGACTTGCAGGGGGTGTGGGTGGGCTGGGCTGGGTTCACGAGCCGAGGTGAGAATTCAATGAGGGGAGAGAGTAACTGAAATCGGATCAAATGGAGCGGGGATCCCCCTTGGAGCTGCAGCTTCTGGGGAAAAGGAAACTTGAGGCCTGAACCCTCTTCCTTCCCCCCAGCCACACGCAGGCGGCTCCCGCTGTGATAAGCTCCAGTGATGGGCAGGGAGCTTCCTGATGGGCATCCGGCCCGGGCACTGGTGGGCCCTCTCTGTCCCTAAGGGCCTGCGTCCTGCACACTCAAGCCTGAAGCTCAACCAAGACTCACACACAGGGCAGGGCACCTGGGAGCAGAGGTGTGAGCTGGGCCCCAGGCTGCTCTGGGTAGAAGAAGAGAGGACACAGGTGTGTCAGGAGACCCCTTGGTCTGGGTTCAGGTGAGGCTGCAAGCAAAGGTGTTTGTTCCAATAGCTAAAGACAGGCCCCTAATCCCAGACAGAGAATAATGAGTTAGGACTGACATTTTTCTCTGAGCACCTGGGGTCTGTGGCCCATCACCCAACAGACAGACAGACAGACGTCTTCGCATACCTTAGTTCATAAAGTTCTCCAGGAAGACAGGCTTGCCCCTGGAGAACTCGGGGAAGGGCAGTTTCCATCCTGCCTGTCTTTGCTCACAGCTCACGTGGCTGGTTGCCCCATTCTGCTTCTCCTGAGGAGGCAGGCTGCCTGCCTGCCTGTCCCCAGCTGTGTCCAGTTGGGAGTCCAGGGCAGGGCTGGGGTGCAGGTGAGAGGTGACAGGGGCCACTGGGCCCAAGGCACATGGGACTGCAGACCACAGCCAGTGGGCAATGGAAGGGGAGGAAGGACGGTGTCATGACGGGGGGAGATGGGAAACACAGCTACCCTTGGCCCTGCTATCCCCGATCATGAGGGGCCCAAGGCCACCGAGCCTCCCTCATCTCAGTGCAGTTTGGCTGTGCTCAGCAGCGCCAACCAGTGGCAGAGCCGGGCCAGGGATGTGTCTGGGAGCCAGCCTGTCCCTGCTCTGCGATGGTTGCTGGTGGGTCAGGAGTGGGTGGGACAAGGAGCTATGGAGGGCACGGGGCGGCACAACACAACCACACACTCTGGGGAGAGCCCCCAGTCCCCTAAGGAGGGACAAGAAAAACCTGGCAGGGGAGCCTCAGGGGTGGACTCCATCACGTACTTGGGCTTGGGGACCATGGTGGACTTCAGAATCAGAGGGTGTGTGGGAACAAGCAGAAAGTGAACTTTAGCTGTGTGCCAATGTCCGATGCTGGGTCACAGACACACACACACACACACACACACACACACACACACACACACACACACACACACACACACACACAGACACACACACACACACACACACTGACAGGGTAGAACTGCCCCCACAGGGGCCCCAGAACAGATTACAAGTCTTTTCTGCCACAGACCTGCTGGCTGGGTTTGAACCGCAGACCTTTAGATCAGCAGTGCAATGCTTCAGCATTACAACACCAGGGGACACTGAGACCTGGTTCCCCCAAGGCCTTGGGGTCCTGCCGGCTCTGAATGCATGGTTCGCTGCTGCCTGGGGGGCAGCATAGTACCCAGCAGCCTGTATATACGAGGGTGCTGGGGCATCTGCATAATCTCAAGTGTGGGCACACCCAGGGATGTGGCTCCCACCCCACCCCCCACTCCCACCTGCCTGTCCCCTCAGAACTTTCCTCCCACGCCAGGGCTAATCTGGACCCCATCGGAGTCTTGCTTCCCCTTCTGTCAGGGCACTGCCCATCCCAGCCTCCAGCCTCCGCCTGGAGATCAAGGTGGAGGTCAGTCTAGCAGCAAGGGGAGGAGGAGCCTCAGGCTTCCCCTTGGCCTGCAAACAGGAACATTTGATGCTGAAGAAAAACCCCGGATGTTGTGTCACTGCAGTTTGGCCAGTTTGATAGAGAGCCCTTCCTCTCTGGCCCCACTCTGCCCGGGCACTCAGGCAGGGCTGGAGGCCTCTGGAGACTTCTTCCCTCAGGCCCGCCAGGAGCGACCCATGGGATTCCAGAACCAGAGTTGGCCTGCTTCCCTCCTCAATGATACGGGGTCCCCAGTGGAGGGCTGCGCCCCCAGCCCCACCACCATCGTGGCTGCCTTCATGGCGCCCGTCCTGGCCATCGAGTTTGTCCTGGGGCTGCTGGGGAACGGCGTGGCTCTCTTGATCTTCTGCTTCCGCCTGCGGCCCTGGACGTCCAACACGGTGCTGCTGGTGTGCCTGGTCGTGGCCGACTTCTTCCTGGTGGCCAACCTGCCCCTCCGCGTGGACTACTACCTGTGCGAAGAGATGTGGCGTTTCGGGGCGACGGCCTGTCAGGTCAACCTGTTCATGATCTCGGCCAACCGCACGGCCAGCGTGGTCTTCCTCTCCACCGTGGCGCTCAACCGCTACCTGAAGGTGGTGCACCCCCACCGCGCGCTGAGCCAGGCCTCGGTGGGCACCGCCGCCTGGGTGGCCGCGGGGCTCTGGGGCGGCATCCTGCTGCTCAATTGCCACCTGCTCCTGTCCTCGAGTGCCGGCAGCACCTGCCTCAGCTACCAGCTGGGCACCAACTCCTCGGCCTCGGACCGCTGGCACGAGCTGCTCTTCGGGCTGGAGTTCCTCCTGACCCTCGGGCTCGTCCTTTTCGCCGTGGCCAGCATCCGGCGGACGGTGCAGCGGCGCGGCCTCGGGGGCCAGGCGGGCCCGCGCCGGGCCCTGCGCGTGCTGGCCGTGGTGGTGGCCGTCTACGCCATCTGCTTCCTGCCCGCCCTCGTCTTCGGCACGGCCACCATCGCGGCCTTCGAGCTGGGCTCCTGCCGCATCTTCGACCTGTGCGCGCAGCTCTTCCACGGCTCCCTGGCCTTCACCTACCTCAACAGCGCCCTGGACCCGGTGCTCTACTGCTTCTCCAGCCCCAGCTTCCTGCGCCAGATCCGGGCCCTGCTGGGCCTCCGCTCCAGCGCGCAGGGCTCCTCCAGCGAGGAGAACTCCCACCCTTCCCCCGCCCGGCGCCCAGATGCCCCCGGGCACGTGGAGGTGGTGTTGAAGGGGAAGGACTTGGCGTCTGCCGCCAGGGAGGGGCAGTGACCAGGTGGCTCCCTGGACGGGTGGCTGGCACAGGGTGCCCAACCTGCAGACGGGGAGCCAGGCAGAGGCAGCCGCAAGGGAGCAGGAGGCTGGCTGGCAGGGAGACCAGGGGTCTTGGTCTTGCAAAGGGACCAGCACGTCGTGACGCCATCCCCTGGGCCAGGAAGGAGCGTGATGCCAGAGGAGACGGGCAGGGGCGCTGTGGGGGGGTCGCGTCACCCATGCCGCACGGTGGGCCAGGCCTGGGAGCCAGGACATCAAAGCAGCGAGAGCCGCCACCTTGCCGTTGAAGTCAGAAGGCGAAGTTTTCTGTGAAGATCTCGTTTGAACTAATAAACCTGCGTTTGAAAAGGCAAGCTGCCTCCACTCTTCAAGAAGAGCAGTCATGTCTCTTGGTCTGGCTGGGCACTCGTGTCAGCGGGTCCCCAGGTGAGTCTCCCAAGGCAAAGGGGACCGACGGGTGGGGGTTGGGCGGCCCGAGGGGGAGATGCTGATCAACCTCTTCCCCGCAGGGCACTGCCCTCCCACGAGCCTCCATTATTCTATGGAGTGCCCGGCTTAAAGTCAGACCTCCGTTCCCGGGGAAGGGAGCACAGGCTAGCTTCTCTGAGGTGCCCCTGCTGCACCTTGGGCTCTGCAGTCCTTAAAGCACCAGGGAGGGTCCCCCCCACCTCCTGGTCCGACTGGTTCCCTCCCACTGCCCTCAGCAGTGGGGGCGCGGCCCATGTGGTGGTGCCCCGCTAGAATAGACCCCACGTGAGGGCACCGGGTGGGAGTCACCAGAGCTGGTCACAGCCCTCCCCTTGTACCACAGCTGCCTTGCCAGCCTGTGCCCTCTCTCTTCTCTTCAGTGTGCCCGTGGCAACCGGGGACACTGGGTTTGGGGTCCTGAGCAGCTCCACAGAGAGGGGGCCACCCCACAGGGGCCCTGAAGACCTCATTTCTCCTCGCCAGACCTTCTTCCACCAACTCTGCTTGTCCCCTTAGTGACTGGGCTGGCCCACCCTCCACCTTCTACCTGGTGTGGGGGGAAATCCCCAAAGACTCCCTGGCTTATCTATAACTGCAGCCTTCCCTGCCCCGGGGAGGGAACAGAGGCCTGCCAGTGTCTGAGAGTGCAGGGCTGACCCATTCACCCCCTAACTGCCCACCACAACCCGCACGTTCTCCCGACCTGCGCACCTGGTGTGTGTCTGGTGTGTATCCATTGGGAGGGGAGGTAGCCTTGCTATCCACTCTTGACAAGCGCTTTTATGACAAATTCCTAAAAAATTCAGGACAGGCCCCGTCTGCATTTTCTAGCTCTACTGTGGGGGTGGGGCGGAAGATAAGATGTTTCTTAAATCTTCAGGGGAGAGGGAGACTTCCAAAAAGCTGCTAAGGTTCCAGAAGGTCCCTGTGTTCTGTGTTCCCAGCTGCTGTCACCTCAGAAGGAAGACCTCCCAACACACTCCTCCCCCAGCTGTGGGGCAAGAAGGGCTGGGGCTAGTTCTTGGCCTCTAGTATAGGTTTTAAGAGCCCTAGGGACATAGTGGTTACATTTTGGCCTGCTAACTGCAAGGTCAGCAGTTCAAAACCACCAGCCACTCTGTGGGACAAAGGCGAGGCTGTCTACTCCTGTAAAGAATTCGCATCTCAGAAACCCACAGGGGCAGTTCTACCCTGTCCTGTCCTATAGGGTCGCTATGAGTTGTCATCAACTCAATGGCAGTGAGTAAGTGAGTGAGTATAGGGTCTGTTCTGCCCGCCCCCAAGTTCCCTTTGAAGCTTAATCCATGAAGTCCAGGCCTCTCTTCTCAGGACAGGGACACTCACCCTCATCGTAAAAGCCCTCAGGACTGGAGGCCAAAGCCCAGGAGCCACCCCCTGCCCCCCACCCCGCGCACACACACACAGGAGGGAGGCCATCAGAAGCAGCATGGATGTGGGGGTGGGAGATGAAGAGAAAGGAAAGTCAGGCAGAATGAGGTAGGTCAGGGGCACCAGGGGATGGATGCTGGAGCTGGCCCCGCCGCCATCCCCCCCACCTCCCGATGCCCCAGTGCAGCTGCTGCCAGAAACCCAGAGACCCTGAGAACCAAATCAAGTAGTGGTCGGGTGTGCCTCTTGGGTGCCCCCTGAGGTAGTTAGTTTATTGTGCCAACCTGGCCGATGTGGGGTTAATTGAAGGGCGGAGGGATAAATGGCTCGGTGAGCCTCGCCTTTCAAGTTTTCGGGTCTCTTGCTTTGTGATGGTCGAACCAGGGTGCAGCTGCCTTAGCCAGTGCCCTGCTTTAGCTGACAAGGTTCACTTCCTGCACAACATCCCCGAGGAGAAGCCACATGGACCTACCCCGATGCAGCCCTGGGTGCTGGAGCAGCCATGTGGAAACCCCTGCCAGAGCTGAGATGCTTACACATTCACTGACTCGGCTTTCCTCCTGCAGTCGGCATCACTGCGTGTGTTTTGTGAGATGGAGGAGAACTTTGTGGATTGGTGTCGGACATATGGGTTAATGTTGGACTTGTGGGCTTGGGCAGCACTGGGTTGGGGTGTTTTCTTGATATGCACTTACCCTTTATATAAAACTCTCTCTTATACATGAGTCTCTGTGGATTTGTTTCTCTAAAGTACCCAGACTAACACCCCCGCCAAGGTGGCTCATCTGTCTCTGGGCTACCCAGGTTTCCACCTTTGTTGCTGCCATTGTCACCCTGGAGGGCCACTCCTGGGACTCCACATCCACCAGCGGAGGTGAGGGCCAGGCCTGGGCCCACCTGCCTTAATCTGAGGCTGGCGATTCCCAGGTCAGAGGCTTCTCTGAGAGACTTGGACACTGACGAGCATCTCCAGGCTGGGGACTAGGGAACTCTTTCCTATGGAGCCCCCCACTGGCGCACAAGCCCACCCTGGACAGAGGGTACTGTTCAAGGATCCCCATTCTACCCTGGTGCACACCCGCCAGGGCCCAAGCAGAGTCCCTGAAGGGTGCAAACATCAGAGGCTCAAGGGACTTCAGAAGAAATCACGCAGCACAGCTCCACAGGCACACACGGCGGGCTTGGCATGAGTCTGAATGAACCCCTTGGCAGCTGGGTTTGGGGTTCTGAGCAGCTCCACAGACACGGGCCACCCTGCAGGGCCCTTCAACATGGCAGGCTTCTCTTCGCTGGACCTTCTTCTACCTACTCTGCCCACCGCTCCACCACCTGCCTTTGCAACTGGGCTCACCTGCCCTCCACCCTTTGCCTGACAGGAGAAATCACCAGGCGGTCCCTGGCTTTGGCCTTCCCCAACCCGACCCAGGGAGGGAGCTGAGGCCTGCCTTGGAGCAGGCAGTGGGCCATGCTCCTGTCCCTGCAGAGACCCCTTCCTCTCATCTTAAAGCTGAAGACTGTCCCTCCCTGAGAAGCTGGGCCACCGCCCTTCTGAGGCGTCCTCTGAATGGGGTTCCCAGCGGCTGCAACGCTCCCCCCCACGCAGCAGTGGGGCTCTTGTTGTACTCTTGATGCTAACTCACTGCAGGGGCAGCTTGCCCCGGGAGCAAGGTAAGCACGGACTGGCTTGTGCTTACTTACTAATCTGGAGTGAACAGCGTCACATGTTTCTCACCATATCGGGTGAAACTGCTGGTGAGTACCCCATCCTCATCTGGGGCGGCGAGCTGGAGGGGGTGCCTTGATCCTGTGGGATGGTACTGCAGGGCTAGGGAGAGGCAGGTGCTGGCCAGAGCTGAGCAGAATCTTGGCGGTGGTGGGGAAAACAGGACCTCGGGCTGAGACTCACACGCCCGGGCGTCACCACGGCAACCAGTATCTGCTACAAGGAAGGCCAAGCTCCGCTGCTTGCTTGGTAACCTCCCGGGACCAGTGGGGGCTCTGGCCCTGACCCTAGCCCAGGGGTGGGGCTGGAACTAGCTGAGAAGGCAGCTGCTTCTTCAGGAAAGCAGCCCTCCGTCTATGGCGGGGAAGTGCTTGGCTGCTAGCCGTTTAGGGGCTGGGTGCTCTAAGGAGGCATAACCAATGAGCTGCTCACAGAGTCTAGCCATTCCAATTCACCCTGAGGAGCGTCAGAAGAAAGGCCTGGTGACCTGCGTGAGAAAAATCAGCCCCTGAAAGCCCTCCCAAGCACAGGTCTCCCCTGACACCAAGGTTGTAGCCACTCATCAGAGCCAGCTCCACAGTGACTCGCTGTTTGTCCATCAGGTGGGAGGATAGCACCCATGGTGGTCTGTGGGTTTCAAGCACTGCTTAGTCCCTGGGGTGCGCTGCACCAACACCCTTTTCTTTCTCACTCCTCTCTCTCCTACTATAGCCCCTGCCCCCACCCTGAGGACGGCCATGCACCTTCCTCCCTTAACTCCCAAAGATGCCCTGGGGGAAGGGGGACCAGCAGGCAGGGATGGGCTGAAGCAGGCAAGGTGTTCACAAACACATCCAGCATTTCCTGGATGCCCCCCCCAGCCCCCATGGCTAAGACCCTGACCTCCAGAGGCAACAGCTACTACTGTGCCCGTGGGCCACCCCCAGACACGCCTGGCAGAGGCAGGCCTCCAAAGGTGTGCAGCCCAGTGCTGAGGCACAGGGGGTAAGGGACCACCCCTCCACAGGAGGCCTGGGAGGTGCCTCGGTGAATGGGGTCTTCGAGGATGAGGAGCAGAGGAGGAGGTGCGTGGTCAGCTCCAGGACCCGAGTGGTGAGCCTGTGGGTACAGGGCAGTGGTGGGTGCATTGCAGCAGGAGGAGGCTGAGGTGCAGAGTTTCAAGAGGGCATGAGAGGCAGGCTGGGGCCAGGCTGTGCGGCGCCCCAATGCCAAGCCTAGGGGCTTTAAAACAAGGGGTTTGGGGAGATGGTTAAGATGCTCGGGTTTGCACTTTTATTTTACTCAGGCAATAATGTGGGTTAAGGTTCATCAGGGAGAAGCGGGAGGCTGTGGGAAGTTCGAGGTGCCCTGGTTAGGGACTGTCTGGTCCAAGCCAGAGCCAGAGGGCAGGACGGGTAAAACTGGACAGATGCTGTTGCTATGTACGAGAGGGGGTGCCATCATGAACGGAGTGTGGACAATGACCTGCTGAGGGTACAGGTGCAGAGCAGGTCTGGACAATACGGAAAGCACTTTCTGTTCTAGACAAGCTGGGGGAGGTAGGAGGGCTTCCAGGCAAGTATTTTTCCATGGAGTTCTAGAAGTGTCATTGTACATGCGTGCAACAGGCTGGAGAGAGGAATATAGAGTCTTCTCTTCACGGTTGGGACTTGAGGAGTGAGGTTAGGAGAATGGTGGGGTTGCCAGGGAAAGAGGGAAAGGGCCAAGGTCCATCCTTAAGTGACCCTGCAAGGAAGTGGCCAGGCCCAGTGGAGAGATTTAGAAGAAAGTCAAGAATGGAAGTGGTGGGGGAAAAATAAAGCATTTTTCAAACAAAAGCAAACCTGTTTGCCTAAGTAGAGAGATTGCTCATTAAAAAAGAAAGAAAGAAAAGGAATCAAGCCATCCTTTAGCAAGACAAAACTCAAACACAAATACCAAGACAGACCCTTTCTAGAAGGGCTGCCCCATCCGTCTGAAGGGAGCTGGCTTGGAAAATCAGGTGCGTGGCCATCACCATCTGGTGGGGCATCTCAGAGGGAGGCCCCGAGGCCGCACCGGAGTTATCAGCATTGTCATACTCATATTCAATGCATTTCAATATGCACCAAATACATATGTGTGACCCATCACTCTATTGGCTATGGGCTCACACCAGGGATATTAATCGCCAAACTCCAGCGATGCCGAAAACCTCTGGGGTGGCGCAGAGCGGGACAAGGGACAAGATGGCTGCCACAATATGTGAACAGATGTTTGTGAGATTACAAAAAAAACACTTTTTTTTTTTTAATCGAAGGACATCACTATGCTAACATCTGGGCGCTACTTAGCATTGGCCTGGTAGGGACTGAAGGGGCCGATATACCGCAATTGACTGATGGGATGCTAACAGGGCTCAGACAAGCTCCAAACAGGGTGACTAAAAATAGTGGCAGGCTTGGCAATTAGGCTGTCATGAGAGACTGTACTGACAGGCATTTCAGCGAGTGGTGGAGGGCAGGGGCCAAATAGAAGCCACGGAGTGCTGGGGCGCACAGGGATTGGTGAGATCGGAACGGATGGAAGCTACCCCCCTCCTTCAACACATTTGTCCTGGAAGACTGGCAAGGAAAGGGATGGCTCAGGTCAAACTCCTCGGAGCGGTTTCAGGGCAGTGGTCGGAAGGACGGGAGGGGGAACGCAGTGATGGGACAGCGGGGAACATGCCCCGCCTGGCCCTGCCCTGCCCTCAGCACTCTGACAAACACTCACTCTTTGCTCCCATTCAGTAGGTATTATTACTGTTGTATCATTTAAAGACAACTAAATTTACTAAGCCTGAAAGAGGACCAAGACGAGACAAGGACACATCATCTGGATACAGGAGACCCTTCGCACAAGGTCATAATGGCAGCTGAGCTTCTGTAGCAGCGACTTGGGGACTTATAAAGGATGTGCGCGGGCAAGCAGATATTATTATGAACCCCTTTTACAGATGAGGAAGCTGAGGCCCTGGATACACTACTCCAAGGCCCTGAGGAAGAACAGAGGAGCCGGGATGGATCGAGCAAATGGGTAGCAGGAAACTCTGTCCTTGAGAGACAAAAGGGCATGTCCTTAAGCTGTGGAATGGCGCCATTAGGGCAGGTCTTGAGACAGAGGGGAAGGCTCACAGTATTAGCAGACTAACCTCTGGCCCGGAGGGGGAACCACCTGCCTCCAAGGGTGGGGTGTTCAGGGAGTGGGTCCCACAGCAGAGCCACAGTACCCAGGAAGGACAGCCAAAAACCCGGCATCATTTCCAGAGATTTATTGGAAACACAATACAAATTGATTAGTAGATGGCATCTACTGACAGACAGACAGTCCACACTGTAATAGCACGCTCTGAATTAATTACCCTGGGGAGATCATCCTTGTCACTGAAGCGGGGACCCCAGAGCCAGGAAACTGGGGCATGGCTTTCCTGAGGGGAAGGGTGGGGTGGGGGGAAGTGGGGGGGAATGTGGCAATGGAGGGGAATGTGGGTGGGGGTGGGGAGTTCTAAATGGGAAAATTGCCCCCAAAGGAAAACAAGGACAACTGTGAAGAATAAAGGCTTTCCCCTCCTGTCCCAAAGCACGTTCATCTCTAGTCAAGAGTCAAACAATATCCAGAACCCCAGGGCCAGCGCCTCCTTTCCCCTCACTCAGCCTCCGGGCAGCCAAGCTCTGAAGCCAACCCCACTGCCAGGTCGACTCCGGATCATAGTGACTCCTTGTAAGGTTCCCCAAACTGCAAATCTTTTACAGGAGCACGTCTGGTGGGGTTGAACTGCCAACCCCACGGTTAGCAGTGCAGTGCTTACCCTACGGTGCCACCACGGCTCCCAAACACATGCCCTTGGGCTGATGTGACCCTATGGGACAGGGTAGGACTGCCCCTGAGGGTTTCCGAGACTGGAACTCTTTATGGGAGTAGGCAGTCCCGTGTTGCCCCGGCACCAGAGCTCAGTGGCTCTGAGCTCCAAGCTCAGATGGACATGGAGCAGCCCGAGGCCATGCTGTCCCCGGGCCTGCAGCCCTCAGATGGGCTCAGGCCTCTGGGGCAGGGGGATTCCTGCAGGTTGCCCGACCCAGGTCAGGTGCACTGCTTCGGTTGGCTGTCGCTAACCTGAGGCACCAGCAGGACCCTTCAGAGTATAAGGGAGAGAGAAGGTGGGCTATTAGTCCCCCTCTTGGCGGGGGTGATGTTTCTGATGGTGGCCCGATTCAGCTTCCCGCTGCCCCTTGCCTCCCTCGTTGGCCTCTGGGCTCTTCTATCACCTGAGCAGGACAACCCTCGGGATCCAAGTACCTCTGCGTCACATACCCACAGGGGTTTCTCGCTTCCTGACTGGCTGGACTGACTGACACAAAGGCTAACATAAACCAGGCCAGGGAGGCAGACCTGTGAGAGGGATCCCCGAAAATCTGAGCAACACCCTCCTGTCTGCTCCCTCTCCCCTCCCTGCCCCTGGGAACCAAGGCTGGGTGGGGCCTGAACCAGGAGAGGGAGACACACACGCAAAGCTCATGTCCTTGACCAAGGGAGCCAGCACCTGTCTTTGCCTGCGCTGCCCCCCAACCCCCAATGGTGGCCCACTAAGGACACACACTGGTGCTCTGTGGTCTCAGCGGAAGGGGGGCGGGGGGCGCTGGAAAAGCCTGTGGCCACAGCAGCTGCTCAGACCAGAGCAGGGGGCTGCTCAGAGCTGAGGCAAGGGGGTAGACGGGCAGTCAGCATCACCTCTGTGCGAGCACATGGGAGCACGTCTGGAAGCTTCTCCCAACCAGGTGCAGGAAGAGCCTTTTTGAGACAAGACTCAAAATGTTCTCTCCAAATGTGAAGAGTGCCTGGCCTAGCTCCGGCTCCCCGAGCCCGCCGGGGCCTGCAGGACAGAGCCCCTGCCAGGGAGCTGGGCACGAGCTGGCAGCAAACCATTTCGATAATTAGCAATCAGTCAC